CTCCCCCCCTCTAAAATCAATTCTCTCCTGGAGAACGTCTTCGTGAGGCTCTCATGATTTCAGGATAGTTGAAACCCTCTTGAACATTCAGAAAGAGTGAATATGAAATTCTAATCACGAAAGGTGTTCCCCGAGGGGATACATACCTAGAGTTTGTTTTGTGAAGCACGTCAATTCTCTCCTGGGGAGCGTCTTCGTGAGCCTCTTATGGTTTCAGGATAGTTCAAATCCTATGATGTTCCGATTCAATGCTCACCGATGATCTGAGCCATGGGGCAAGTTTGTTTTCCTAAGAATCTTTTTGAACATTTCGAGAGCATATGTTTGAATATTCAGAGTGCATATGAACATATATTTACGAAAGGTCGCCTCCAAGGGGATAAATCACCATGTCGAACATAGCATTTTTGTTCCTGCCTCTCGCGTTCTCTTCTCTTCCCGCTGTCCTACCTTTCGTGTCTCCCTCCTCTCAAGTGCCTCTTGGAGGAAGTGGGGGGTGCCCAGAACATCCACTCACTGGATGGGACTCAAAAACCACGTCTTTGCTTCCTCCACGTCTTGTGACGTCTTGTGACAGGTGAGACATGGTGAGACCTGAGGTCCTCTTCTTCCCCGGACGCAGATCACCGAAACCCATTCACGAAGCAACGCGCACGTTGACCCGACGTCACAGGGTCACGGATTCTCTCCCGCACGTTGACCCGACGGAGTCTCCCGTAGTTGTTGACCTCCAGTTTTGGCCCGTGAAGACCAGTTCAACATGTGTTTGGTGTTTTTTTTTCCTGGTTTTGCCAAATGAAAATCCTTACCCTAGGGCTCCAAGTACCTTCTCAGATTGTCAGAAGGTCCTTGGAGCGTCAGGGTTAGTAACAAACATGAGTTACTTGATATTCGATCCATTGTCATCCATGGTGGGCAGACGGAATCCGTCATAGATGGTTCTAGATCTCTCTGTGTCTTCTGTCTACCGCGTCTGGCGCCGTGGGCAACACCGTCGACCAGAGGCAATGTCTCCACCGTCGATGATCACGATGCCCGGCAGTTCAGCATGGGGGTTGTAGAAGAGGGTTTCATCATGTTTCCCTTGGGGTTACTTCGATCACTAAATAGTTCTCTGGAAGATGGAGAGTGGGTTATGGTGGGTTTATGGGTCCGGTGCTGGTACGACACTCACTCGCTGCCTGAGACCATGAAGCGACCCGAGCGGGTGGTTTGATGGATGCCGGCTCGGCATGCTCGGGTTCTTGGTGTTTCACCGGATGTTTCTAATAGACCAGGAGCAGGAGCATGGGTCTATTGGGGACCCCTTGGATGTGTCCAAAATATATGCCATCCGGAGAGTTGGAACTTCGCTCCGTACCTGCCTGGTCTTGTTGAAAGTTCGCTCCTTTCTTCCCTCCCCGAAACAAGGACAGGGGCTGACGTGAGTCAGCGCGATTTTTATCCGTGGGGAATTCCAATTCCTTGGGCCCATGTGTCCAGGAACCAGGAACAGGACCCGGGACCAGCCGGGAGTGTCTCACTTTGGGCGACTCAACAGCGCTTTCGCGACGGCACTTAGGGCGCCCATCTTCCAAGCTCCATCCGCCTGTGACGCAAAAAGAGCCTCTCGGATCCCGACGGACGACAGCGGAAAAAAAGGACCAAAAAGTCGGAAACCCCCGACCAAAAGCCCCCAGGACTCACAGAAGTGTTTTGTTAAGATGTGGGAGGGATGGGGAGGGTAAGTTCCGTGGAGTTCGTAGGACTCAGAAGCACATGCCAGGACCTTCCCAGTGACCTTTTTGGAATCCCTAAGTGACCTTTTACAAGCCTAAGTGACCTCAAACCAGGGGATCAAAAGGTCACTGGGAAGATCCAGGTGCATGGTCTGTAGTTTGTGTTGGGGCATGTTCCCCAAAATCAGTCAACGCCCACGCACCTTGGCGGAGCTGTCGCCGGCGACGGAATTTTGTTGAATCCAGATTCGCCTTCATCTCGAGCCTTGTTTTTTAGGGGAGACAACTTCGGGTGTCCAAAAGAATAACGTTGTTGTTTGATGCGATCCCAGCTGTTCCAAAGGAAAAGGGGTTTGTCTGATGCTACCCAGATTGAGTGGATGGTCTAGGCACCAGTATGCAGTCCTCAGTGGATCCTCTCCCGAAAAAGGGCCTCAGCGGGACGTCTGGAAGGTCGGTGGGTCTGATCTCTCCGAGGGTCGTCGGAAGGGTCTCAGGTGTTGATATCTGAACTACCCAGACGCTCCGTTGGTCTTGGGTCCCTCAAAACCAAGAGATTTTGAGACCCCAGACCCCTCCATGAGGATTCGGGTCCAGGGTCGCGTCTGGGTAGTCGAGTGAAGGAAGAGATTCTCCATATCGCTCGGAAATCAGAAGAGCTGGTGGAGGAGAAGTCTTCCTCGTGCGTTTGCACGGATTTCGATGTCTCGACAGGTTGAAGTCGATGGGAAGCCGAGAGTGGAACCGAATGGAGACCGAGATGAGCAGGTCCAGTTCCTGTCCGAGCGACGTGGAAGCAGACGTGGAAGGCCACACCCGATGGCAACTGGTTCAGTACATATCCGTACATGCTTGCTGACCCTTCCTAAAGAGCACGAAAAGAAGATCACATGAGATCGAATTCAAAGAATATTCATCATTTTCGTGAACCACCATGGAGTGGTTCAGATGGTTTTGGAGATTTGGGATGCTGCAATGCTTGGTTCCTGCTTCCCGGTCGCGTGGCGATGTCACTCTTTGTATCATAGGTCGCTCCCTCCTGTCGCTCAAAAGGAGCAACGGAGCAGGTGAACTCGAAGTGGACATGCCAGTGATTGCAGGTCCAAGTGAAACAGGTGGTCCAGTGATGCCTGGGATTTCCTCACCATTCCGATTGTCGGATCGTGAGAGGTGGTGAAACAAAGAGAACAAAGAAATCGGCCAAAGATGAGAAGCTGATCTTCATCCTTCATCCTTCATCCAGGTCCATTCTCAGTGCATGTGCGATCACAGGCAACCTGTCATCAGTAAGCGCAAGAGGCAAGAGGTCCATTCTCAGACCCACTAAAGAGATCCATGGAAAGATATGGAAAGGGAAGGGACCGGGTGCTTTTCCGGGACCTGGAGCTGATGTCCCTTCCTCGTTCTTTCGATTTTGCGAAGGTGGGGGAAGAGTTGGATTTGTCGATGGATATATAGCCGGAACGGTTTTGGGAGTGGTTCCAATGCATGTTACAATGTGAGGAGGTTCGTGAGATTGGAAGGAATAGACCCGGAGGGACCAAGAACTTGGCCGGAAAGAACCAGTGTTGCTTTTACCCCCGTTTTCTTTCGGGTTGAGAACGCGTGAAGCAACCGTTCACCAAAAACATCGTCCTGCGATTGCTGACCCACTGTCGGCGAAATCGGCCGATAGAGAGAAAATGCCTCGGCTTGCCGAGAGAGAATGGCCTTCCGTTGGTGCGTAAAATCGCAATAACGGAACAAAAGCGAAAAGGGTTCAGCTATTCTGCGTTCTTTTTCACGACTCTTTTCTTAGTAATTTTTGTTTCACGCCGGTTGCCAATGTTTGCCACATGTTCTGTGTGTCAGTGATTGAGTTATTTGCCGTGCTCAAGTTACGGGTAGAAATACTGAAGGAATATATCGAGGAAGCGCATGATGCAGACAAGTTTCATCAACAATAGAAACAACAGCAGCAGCCAACTTAGATCAGCATAGCTGCTTGAATGAAGCTTGGCGATCTTTGCAAGTTTGTTCCTGCAATGCTTGATTGAAACAGGAGGCGCAGGAGGCGGGAAGCCGAAACCAGCAACGGCTCGTCAGACGAGTTCAACTCCTTTTTGGGCGGGCAGGGTGCCCATGTTTGGTGTTGCCACTGTGCCAGTTGCACAAAGCGCCGTGTGTCACCTGTGTTCTCAGCAGCGCCGTCACGGGTTGGACTTCCTGCCGTTGGGCTTCCTGAGTTGACGTCTCTGTTTAGAGCCGGCAGCTGAGACACTCTCTTTCTCACGCAGTTGAGTGATGACATGTGATGACGGTTAGCTCGGTATAGCGTCCAACAAACATGTCAGTTTGGGATTTTCCTGACCCAAAGTGATCAAAAGTCACAGACAGATGTGATTCTCGCAACAAGTGGATGTCTTCGGCAACGGTCTGGCCAAAGGAAGAAAGCCGAAAAGGGGCCATCGTGATGGTGAAAAACGACCAAAAAAGGATGGACAGAGCTTTCCGCTCACCACCCGGGCATCGAAAAATCGTGAACTTTGGACTAAAGTGACTAAATTGAAACAGGCCATAGATAAAATCAGATACTGTGCATCATTACATGTCTTCACAATTGAATAAACATGTCTTCAGTCCCAACATCTTTGGGCCCGTCTGGTGCGCGCTCTTGTGCGCGCTGTGTTCGCGCCCTTTCGGCACGAACTTGCCCGCTGGCTGCATCCCCGAGCCAGCGGGTCACAAGCTGCCGACGCACGGAGAAGACGAGCTTCCGAGACCCCCGGTCCGCGGGCCCCCCCAATCGGTTCTTGTGGGGTCTGGGCGGTGATTCTGCGGTCTCACAGGCGAAGAACCCGTTGGATCGCATTGTTCGCTTCCTTTTGGGTGCCGGGTGCGTATTAAGATAGAGACAGAGAGACCTTTCAGGCATTTGCGACCCCCCCTGGAAGGTCTAGCTACTTGGGGCGCCTATCAAAAATACACACCCAGGCGGCCTGCATGGTCTTTTGGCCGTTTTTTCCTTTGCGGTGCTTGCGGATCTGCGGGCTTTGCGGTCAAAAGGAGCCCGGCTCATTCGGCTTAGTGATCTTTCCCCGATCCGATGCATGTGAATGCCCCGGCGGAAGCCGGCGGCCGGGATTGCGGTCACCCCGTCCGCTCGCAACTGCACGCGTCCTCACATTGGGTCACATGGTGCCGGTGAAAGTGGACACCATGGTGCTGTGACACCTTCTTTGTGGAAACCAAATACGAAACAAGAAAGGCAAAGACTCAAACCGGATGTGACCATGGAAGGTCATCAGACTTACTCCAAGCAACTCACGGTGCCGGTCCTTTGTGCCACCAGTTCTTGGTGTTTTGGTTGGGCGCGCTGCGCTGGACGTGGAGTCGCAGCGGAGCCGCTGCTTCTTGGAACCACAAGCCGACTCACTCAAGCGTCTTTTTTTTGGGCACTCACACTGCAGTTCAGAAGCAATCACTTGAAATTCTCAGAAGCACTGGCACAGTGAAGATCAATTTGTCGATGGGTCCGCGACAGGTGAAGATCTGCCATGGCACGGTCCAGGTCGAGGCCGGAGATGGGTCAATTCGCGACACACGTGGCCGTGGTCGTGGCGGAACTCACCTGAGCTCCAGAAGCGTTTTTGGTGGGAGTACTTTTCACCTTCATGCTGACTCGTGCTAGTAATTAGGGAATGAGGGTGGCTGGATCCTATGGAATCTCTATTGGGGGCTCATTCCCTTATTCCCCACTAAGCACTAGTCAGCATGTGAAAGCGAACCACTGGGCTCCCTTTGAACCAGACACTTCTTCGTCCGTTCAAGTGGCAGCCGCGATGTCAGATTTTTCGGATGACCTCTCTGAGCATTCTGACTCCAAAAGGAATGTGGTTCTTTCACAAATCCTATGGAAGACTCTTTGGTGTTCACTCAGAAACATTCAGATCTCAGAGCATTTCTCTACAAACATGTCTGGAAAACTAGAGTGGTGGTACATACTTTTCGGCCAAAGGCCACATTCAGCATCATCCAGCTGCCTGAGTGACCATTTTGGACCAATCACCCAAAAATATGCTCACTCAAACTTCGAAAACTGAGGTCATGTTTAGGCCTTCCTATAACTCCTATACCAATTAATTCCATGCCTTCCTTTTTACCCCAGCCACCCAGGTGGGGTATGGCCCAAAACCACCCGCCCGCCCCAGGAGCCGCAGCTCGCCCCCGCGGCGGCGGCGGAAGCGGCAGCGCGCGCGCTCCTCGCCGTCGCGGTCGCGGCAGTCCAGGCGGGGCACGGGTCAGGCCGTGCAGGTGAAGAACCACAGGAAAGAGGGGTGTAGCTCAAGAGCCAAGGAATTCATGTGCTCTACAGGTCAAGGACACTGTGGACCTCATTTGACTGGATCCGGTCATACAAGACCAGTACTCAATGAGGTCAAGGACCAGCTTTAACTTGGCCCTTGGACTTGTAGGGGTGTGTACAAAGGAAGCAGTTCTTTTTCTGTGTTTTCTCATCAAAAAATGGGTGTGTTCTCATGTGAGTGATGGACAAAATTTGTGGGATGGTCAGGGTCGCCCCCTTCCTTTTGCAATTCTGAACCAAGTACGGGGGGACCATCCAAAACCACCAAAACCATAGATGTTGTCCAATCCTCATTGTGTTTTTTGGCCCGGTCGGGGTGTCAGAAGCGGAGGGATTCTGCGCCGTGGATTGAACGGTTTGAACCTCTACAAGGAGGAAGAAACGACATTCCTGTGGCTTCCTGGTGGAAGAGTTGCATGATTGGTCATGGAAATACGGGTTAACTACTGTTGCTACTGTTGCTACTTCATTCGTTCAGCAAGGCACTGGGTCGGTTTCTCCATCGGGTCTGCCGGTGGTCTTCTCGGGGCC